ACCAAACGCCGCTATAGATTAGTACTTTAGTGGCGTTTTTACACAAACGCCGCTATAGACATGTACTTTTGTGGCGTTTTAATACCAAACGCCGCTATAGACTCGTACTTTAGTGGCGTTTTAATACCAAACGCCGCAATTGTCATATAACCTGAAACTCGGGCTTTTCAGAAATATTTTTTTATCTGTGGTACGACTGTAAATAATGTGAATGCTGTGGTTAACAATTGAATGAGTAGGGTTTTGCTTTACTTCTTCGAATCGAAAATGGCACTGTGAGCTAATACCTAAACCCTGTCTTCCCGCTTTACTTCCTCCAAGGTTTGAGCTTCGATTAGTAAAGTTTTTCGATTTCCTCTCTCCTTTTATTATTTGCTAATGGCTTCAGCTTGCAAGAGCTTCATCAGTAGATCATCCTCCTCCATCAAATCCGCCTTTAGAACCAACGGTCCAAAATCCCCATTCTCAAGATCTGCCGCTGCTCCCTCCTCCACCCGATCACCTCTCCCCTCCCAATTCACCTCTCCTCTTCGCCGTTTCACTTTCTCGAGGTACCTTTTTTGGTTTCCATTTTCTAGATTACAATTGGTTAAAAAGAGAGGACAATTTTTGGTTCAAAAGCCTGATTTCTGTTTAATCTTGGTTTACATAGGAAAGAAAATGTACTTTCGATTGGTTTTTTGAGAGGTGATTTGGTATACTAGGTTTTTGGCTATGTTAGTTTATCAATTCTAGGTTCAGGCTGGGTTATCAATGTCGGGTTTTGGTTTGAAGAACTATGAATGAGAGGGGAGTTTAGGGTCTGTCGGTCTGCCCTGTGCATGTATGCATTTATTCTTGAAATAAATGTATATGATAATTTCATTTCTCTACGAGAAGTATAGATATTCTTATTTATGTTCCATGTATCTTGTTGTGTATATGAGAAAAGATGTTTTCGAATAACTGATAAGAGTTTATATGAATGATCAGGTTTAATTCCAGGCTCTAATTTTTGGATCTCACTGGTAACTTCAGGGGTGCCGTGTGCGCGGTCGTTGGGGTGGGTTTCAGGTGGGCTTTTAAAATGATATAGTTTTCATGGAGTTTTTTGTTTCGAGATTCAGACAAAGGCGGGTTAAGTAAAGGTGGTTACATGGGAATTCATACAATGGTGGTAGTAATGGCAAACAGTTACAATGTCAGCAGTTAACACGGCAAAGTTCAATGTATAGTCTCACGCTGGATGAGGTTCAAAATCAGTTTGCTGACTTGGGAAAACCTCTGAACAGCATGAACCTGGATGAGTTTCTCAAGAGTGTATGGACTTTGGAGGGTAACCAGACTTTTGGTACGGACACTGAAGGAACAGCAGTGACCAATCAAACTTCTCTGCAGCGTCAGGCAAGTTTGTCGTTATCGAGTGCTTTGAGCAAGAAGACGGTTGATGAGGTTTGGAAAGATATTCGACAAAGTAAAATTGATGGGGAAAAGAAATCAAGAGAAAGGCAGCCTACCCTTGGAGAAATGACATTGGAGGATTTTCTCATAGAGGCTGGAGTTGTTACTAAAGCATCTACTGATGAAAATGTCGGTGCTCCTATTGTTGAGGTCGATCCAAGTGTTGCACACAGTTTGCACAACACAGTCAGTGGATGCAGTACCCACAACCCCCCCAATATCATCATCCACAACAAGTATAATGGGGATTTATATGCCGGCCCAGCCTATGCCACAACCATTAGCCTTAGTGACTCCTGGTGTAATGGATGTCTCTTACCCGGAGAACCAGGTGTCATTGCCTTCGCCTTTGATGGGAACATTATCAGATACTCAGACATCTGGAAGGAAAAGAGGTTCCCCAGAGGACATAGTTGAAAAAAAATGTTGAAAGGAGACAGAAGAGGATGATAAGGAACAGGGAATCTGCGGCACGTTCACGAGCAAGGAAGCAGGTCGACTTCATTTATTTTCTCTCTTAAACTTGCATGACAATCATACTGCTTTTTTTTATATATTTGAAATGTCTTTATATCGTGTTCTGAATATCGAGTGAACCTGAAAGATATTTAAACAGGCTTATACTAATGAATTGGAGAACAAAGCTTCACGATAAGAAGAGGAAACGAAAGGCTGAGGAAGCAGAAGGTTAGATCTGTCGTATCTGACTCATTTACACTCAATCCATGAACTTCAAACATTTCATTTTTTCCAACCTGTCCTTTGACAGAACTAGTATTTTTCGTGTTTGCATTTCAAATATATATTTACTTATGCCTTTACATTGATAACCTATCCATAGTTAGTTACTTATGTCAGTTTCTCTCTAAAACTGATTCTCGTGGAGATAATGTTATAGTTTTCTCTTAGTATGTTATAGTTTTTTAGATTAATATGCCTCTAGTGGAACTTGGAATTTATATGATATTAGTAATTGTTACAACTGACCCTAGCTGATGGGATGGGGAGAAGGAGTGGTCGAGGATATTATGAATGAAATTAAAGATTCTATCCATGCAAATGTTATAAGTTGTGTTGGTTATCATGTTTCTGTTATGATTTCAGTGGCACTTTGGTATCTGAGATCTCAACTATTTTCCTGAATTATTTTATTTTCTACTTGAACTTTAACAAACTTCATCGCGTTTGTCAGAAACTGATAAAATGTTTCTTTCTTGTGAACTAGTGATAACCAAGTTAACTATGAATCGATGTATAGGGGCCTGCTTCATCGCACATGTGTAAAATTTTGTATAACACAGTTTTTAGTTAAGACATTGAGATAGTTTGATTATTTTTTTTATTGTTTACATGATATTCAAACTAAAAATAGCTTTTGTTCATTCAATTTTCTGTTATGTGTAATCTCAATTATCTATAAACGCATCCATGCTACACACACATTCATATTCTCCTTCATACCTTGTCCTTTCATACTTATATTATAGCATAGATGCCCTGTTACACTATGCTCACATTGATATCCTTAATTTCTCATTAATTCTATCAATATGTTAAGGCCAGGCGCATGACTAGACATGCCCCTCAAACCTTTTTCAGGTGAGATCCATTTGATTAGTAGGAAGACTAGAGCCTAGGCACACGATTTTTTTGCAAGGAAATCACACATATTGATATTGGTTATTTGACTGATATAAAAGATTGTATGTTTTGTAGATAGACTACACTAGACCATACAATAGCCATATACACACATAGACACCATATAGCCCTCACACATACATATTGCAGTTCACACAGGCTAATGCCTTTTTTGTGCATTATGCATAAGGCAATATAAGGGTTCTAAGACATACTTTAAATTTGAAGTACCTTTCCTTCACTCTGGCTGATTTTCTTGAATGATAAAATCAGCCACTTATCTACACACACATATAAAGGGTTCTAGTACCTAGAGTGCGCTATGCCTAAATTCTATGTAACACTTATATCTTATTAGAAGTTTGTTTTATTATAAGAACCGGCTTGTCCCTCCATGGGTATGGATCATCCAGTGTGATCTGGAGGATAAGTTGACCCTCTGGTTCGAAGTAATTAAGTTGTGTTTCTTTCTTTCAAAGAGTTGAGGATAAGCTTCAGCTTTATCAGTGGTGAAGACAATTGAATTCCAAAACCCATCATCACGATTTCGAACCTCGTCTGAGTTTTTAGTGCTTCTGGCACTTATCCCGGTCTCTAGTACTATTTTATCTGTTTTCTATTGTGAGTGGCTTTTTTTTTTTGCTTCTCATACTCTTAATGGTTGTTATATATCTGCTCCTGTTTTATCATTCTTGAATTTGCACTTATCCCGCTATACATGTATGTGTTATTATTCAGGGAAATAGAATACAAATTTTTTTTATCTTCTCTTTTAACCTGAAACTCGGGCTTTTCAGAAATATTTTTCAAAAGGTGGAGGCGTCGGTTATAGTCTCTTTCTGTTTTCATATAAAGATATAATCCTTGAAATTCTAAGTTATTTCTGAATCTCTCTTTCCAAGGTGGAGGCGTCGGTTATAGTCTATTTTCCTAATTTCTGCAAGCTTAGGGGTTTATTTTGTTTACTAATGTGAAAGTTCTGCGTATTTTTAAAGGTTTGGAAAATCAAATGGGAGTGAAGGTAGAACCTGATGTCACTGTTCTGGATTGTGATTCGTCGACTAGCTGAAATCGAAGAAAGAATGGTATTTTTCTTTTATTATTTGATTAATTTGATTTGATAATCAGGGATAATTTGATTGTTTACTTGTTTAAGAATTTGAAGTTGTAATTTGTAGCTCAAAAGTCAATTCAAAGCTCTACATATCAATATGCAAAGATTTTCTGTATTGGATTTGGTAATTTGGTTGCGGCAAAGAATTGATTTTTTCTGTGATTGAAATCTAGAAAACACGGGGTGTTAGTCTACTCTTTATCTATGAATTATTTCTAGTTTGAGTAGAAATAGTATGTTACCTTCAACATACCAACACAACTATACTGATCATTGAATCAAAGCCTAGGAAATAAGCAAGAATAAACATAAGCAAAAATCAATAGAGACAGTATCATGTAGTATATTTATTCTACAAAACACATAAGCAAAAGGGTTTGAATAACTAGAAATTACCGGTTTGACATGAGCGACTGGTGGAGGATTTGTAGTCCTCAATTTCTCAACAAATTGATAATTACCTTCCTAACATTCTTCGTGCATAATCATTAACTTCTCAGCAGTTATGCCGATGGACAGTGGGCTGCCGGTGATGAACCAATATACTATATTGTATCACCAAAGGATGTGTCATAGCGAAACCTAGGTTACTTCCGATTCTTTATTTTTTCTTTCTTCTTGAAGATTAAACTTGTCTTTCATTGAGAAAAATAGTAGAGTAGGAAAAAGATTGTGGTTTCTGTAGTAATATGCTCCAAAATAGTATGGTGCAGGTTGTCCCGTTGATGATTGTAGATTGTAAACAAGCAGTTAATTTGTTGCTCCAAATCGGGACTTAATTACACCATCTGAAGTGTTTCACAGCTTCTGAATACTAGAAAAAAGTGTGATACGACAGCCTTTTCTTAGGAACATACCCAACAGTGCACGCAAAGCTTGTTGATTTTCAAAAAGAACTTGTAAACTTGCAGGTCCTGAAATAATTAACCTTCTATTTTCCTTATGAAGTTAACTTCTTTGTATGGTACTAACACAGTTCTAGAGTTTATGCTTGTGAGTTTGTTTGACTGATTGTAATCTTTTGTATTCATCTAAGATGGTGTTATTAATCAGTTTATTGAATGTAGGTTGTGGAGAATAATCCCAAATACTGGGAAGTTATGTCATCAACACTTGCTGTGGGTTGGCTAGATATCGTGGTATGTGTCTGACAGACTAATGTGGTTTTATAGCTTAATAAAATTATGAAATCATGTTAGGTTCTTTTTTTTAGTGGAATTTTATGATTGGATGTAGTTTTATATTTTGATTATCATCATGAAGGTTGCCCATGCCATAGAGTTGTTGACTGCTGGACTGACCATGCAGAAATGTGTTGTTACTTTTTTAACGTAAGATATAATGGATTTTCATATAAACTGATGATTTATTTGGATATGAAACTAGAGATCGGGTTTGCATTGCCATGGATAAGGCCTTTTCAAGTGGCATGCCAATGGAGTAAGACCTCATGAAGCAAAATATCTGTGCAAGAAATGACAAGACGATACTAGCTCTGCATCATTGTTTTCCCATATAAACTGGATTTATCTCTTTGAATTTAAGCGCCTCATTGTGACGAAGAGTTTTGAAGAATGTGTAAGATTAGAAACAAAATATCTTAGATATTATTGTTTATTATAGTTAATAATGTTGAACTACATTATATTTTACGTTAATGTAAACTTTGATTTATTATTATGGATTTCATTTTTCTTGTATGGATTTTAAGTTTGTTGTTAGGATGTCAAGTTTATTGGAAAATGCTACAGGTTAAATTTGGGTAATAAAAGAGTAAAACAACATTTGACAAATTAGTTTTAATTTGCAAAATCAATTTCTTTAGCTATAGAGAGGTAATTAGCGGCGTTTTATCTTAAAACGCCGCTATAGATATGACATTTTGCGGCGTTTGTTCTAAAAAACGCCGCTATACCAGATCTTTTGCGGTGTTTATGGGAAAAACGCCGCTAAATCTCAAGACCTATTGCGGCGTTTGTGGAAAAAACACCGCTAAATCTCAAGACCTATTGCGACGTTTGTGGAAAAAACGCCGCTAAATCTCAACACCTATTGCGGCGTTTTTGGACAACGCCGCTATATCGTTACTATTGCGGCGTTTTTGTTACCAAACGCCGTGAACTTTAGCGACGTTATTTGTAGCGGCGCTTTTTGCGGCGTTTTTCATAGCGCCGCAGGTGTTTTTTGTGGCGCTTATAAACGCCGCTATAGGTAAAAAAATGCCGCAAATGTACAGTTTTGCTGTAGTGTATCCACAAATAATCGACCCATTAACGGTTATAACGAATGTATAATATGTATATACCAGGTTTGCATGGCATGAAACCTGCAGGAAAATGAAATCCCCATAAAACAACCCTCACAACGTAGTATATAAAGACAAGGATCCAATAAAACATCTTGCCCAAACCCCCCAAGCTCCTTACAAAATATGTGGTTTGTGTTTACTTGTTTAAAATGTATACCTTTTCCTTTTAACAATATAATCTCTGAGATATGAACTTGAAGTTTCTTCTTGAAATTACAATATACTTTACCATTATACTTGATACTTGTGTCTGCACATAATGTGGTGCTACGTAACACAAGACTACCATGATTAAGTTATAGCTATTTGAGTAGTCAATAGTACAGTGATGGCCATGTATCAATAGCCTAATATAGATGACATAATTACTCATCCCTAGATTTGAGTGTGGTAATATCTACTTATTGTCTTTGTGAGTGTCATCCATGTTTAGGTTATTGATACATGGCCATCATCATCACCGTTTCCTTGTATGCAGGACGTTGCTGGAGCAGGCTCAAAATCATCAATATCTCCATCTGCAAGCTTCTTGTACCATGAGGCAACAACCTTGGAGACATGAGCCATTTTCTTTCTAAAAAGAAATGAATATTGGGGCTGCTCACCTAATCAAACTGTGGCTTGTTTTTTCTACTGAATCGATCAATATGAAACTTGAATTTATACAGGGAGATGGTGAATAGCTTCTTTCTGCCACATGGCAAGCACGGGAAGAGTGTGGAATTAAGACCAAAAGTGGTGTTATTTTGCGCAAGACCAAGTGCGGATCATCGGTCCAGCCACTTGGGATGACAGTTCAGCAAATTCTCTCATTCGGATCTATATTCGATGACCTTTGTGTTTTTTTGGCAAAGTCCCACATTGGTTGTGTATAAGGAGGAGTAGAAATTCTTTGTTAAATAGAGCCCTCCTCCTCCTTAATTAAAAAAAAATTAGCTGACCCTATTCTCATATGTAATGAGGTAAGGGGAAGGTAGGATAGTAGGCTGCCCTCAACACAGGTGAGAGCAGCTTCCATGAGAGACCTCTGGCAATCAGAATTATGAATTGTCCACCATGAGATTCGATCCCACGACACAAGGTTAAGAGCCTTACGCTCTACCCACAAATATAAGTCTTCTTCACTATTAAAGGCTATTTGATCTTTCTCTCTTTGTAAGTTTCTATTAGTGAAATATTATTTTAGTAGTGTTTGAGGACATATGCATAATTTGGCCGAACCTCGTTAAATTTGGTGTTCTTTTATGTCTATTTAATAGCTATTTTCGGGTATAGTTGTTATTAATTATTGTCCTATTAAAATTACTTGTCTTGGAAGTTCTATCTAAGGAAAGTGGGTTTTAAGATGGACCATTGTGACCCCTCCTCTTTTCCTGGGAATTTACATTGGGTGATTTTTAGTACAATCGTTTTTACACTAGTCACCTAGATAATAGTTTTCAAGGTGATATTATTATTGGTGGAAATTAACCCATCTTCCACAACAATTGGTATCAACGCTCTTGGTTTATTTTAGTATGCTCTGTGGTTGTGGCTTAGGCTGATTTTCCACATCAAAAAAATTCCTTGGGGTAATTGACATTCTGTATTGACAACTATTAAATAGAATTATAGCAGAAATGGTAGACGACACAAAAACATCTGCAAGAAATGTTGTGACAAATGTTAGATTTGCAGTGGAGATTTTATGGCACCGGTCATTTCGGCATGTGGCAAAGTGAGGTTCTAGATGCCCTATTTCAGCAGGGTCTAGACATTGTTTGAAGGAGAGAAACCAGATGATGTTGAGGAGAATGGAAGAGGATAGATTGGCATGTGATACTATTCGATCGTGTCTTTCTAGAGAGCAGAAATATGCATTTTCTAAGGAAACTTCTACAAGTAAATTGTGGAAGACACTGGAGGAGAAATTTTGAAGAAAAGCGGTCAGAACAAGCTCTATATGAAAAAAGATTGTTCCGCTTCAACTATGTACCAGGTACCACTATGAATGATCACATTACTAGCTTTAATCAGCTGGTGACTGATCTGATGAATATGGACGTGACTTTTGAAGACGAAGATCTAGCTCGATGTTGATGAGATCACTTCCTGATGAGTTTGAGTATCTTGAAACTACTCTACTTCATGGGAAGGTTGATGTGTCTCTCAGTGAAGTAACTGCTGCCTTGTATAGTTATGAATGAGAAAGAAAGACAAACAAGAAAACACAAGTGTCAAAGCAGAATCTCTTGTTGTTAGAGGCCGTTCGAAGAGTCAGAATAAAGGAATGAGAGGGAGATCGAAGTCAAAGTCCAGATTGAGCAAAGATGAATGTGCCTTTTGTCGAGAAAAATGACACTGGAAGAAACAATACCCCATACTAAAGAATAAAGGCAAACCTGAAAGGGAAAGATTGTCTCAAAATCAAATGTGGTCGAGTATGATGATGCAGATTCAGATTTCACATTCGCTGCTACGCCATCAACCAGTTGTTCCAGTTTATGACTGTTAGATTCAGCGTGTAGCCACCATATGACCCCCAATAGAGAATGGTTCTTTGATTTTAAAGAACTAAAGGTGGAATTGTCTACATAGCAAATAATTCCCCTCTTGACACACTTGGGATTGGTTCAATTCGCTTGAGGAATCGTGATGGTTCAATCAGAACCTTAACAGGTGTCCATTATGTACCAGATTTAATGAGAAATCTCATCTCTGTGGGAACCTTAGAGTCAAAAGATTTAGAAGTGAGGGCAAAATATGGGATTATGAGGATTATCTCTAGTGCACTGGTGATAATGAAGGGAATTCGGAAAAGAAACAATGTGTATTACTTTCTGGGTAGTACAATTGTTGGGACAGCAGCAGTGGCATCTTTTACTGATGAACAGGAGTTAGAAGCAACTAGGTTATGGCATATGCTCTTGGGCATGTTGATGAAAAATCCTTGAAATTGATGATAGATCAAGGATTATTGAAGGGTGCTCGGGCTTGCAAATTAGCTTTTGTGAGCATGCATCAAAGGGAAGAAGACGATGGTGAAATTTGGAACAACAATCTATGATACTAAAGGTATTTTGGATTATGTTCATTCAGATGTAAGGGGGCCTTCCAAGACAACTTTATTGGGAGGAACACACTATTATGTCACATTTGTTGATGATTTTTCCCGGAGAGTTTGGGTGTATACAATGAAGACAAAGGATAAGGTCTAGGATTTTTCCTTAAATGGAAAAAGATTGTGGGGACTCAAGCAGGTAGAAAAATCAAACGTCTCCGTACAAACAATGGTGGAGAGTACAAAAATGATCCATTTCTGAAAGTCTGTTAAGAAGAAGGTATTGTTAGGCACTTCACTGTCAGATATACACCACAACAGAATGGGATGGCAGAGCGTATGAACTGGACATTAGTGGAGAAGGTTCGGTGTACGTTGTCTAATGCTGGGTTAGGCAAAGAATTTTGGGCTGAGGCTTTGGTCTATGCTTGTCACCTGTCAACCACTTACCATCGACTGCTATTGGTGGTAAAATACCATTAGAAAAATGATTTGGAGTACCTACTACGAATTATGATTCCTTACATATGTTTGGTTCCACTGCATACTACCATGTTAAGGAGTCAAAGCTGGATCCAAGAGCAAAGAAGGTGATTTATGGGGATCACCTCTGGTGTGAAAGGCTCTCGTCTTTGGTGTCCAGAAACAAAGAAAATAATCTTCAGCCGGGATGTTACCTTTGATGAATCTACCATGTTGAGAAAGGTGACTTCAGCAGAATTGACCCAGCCAGTAAAGAAACTGATTTGACTCTCCTATGGTAGAAGAAGAGTCAGATGAAGAAGAGGTTCAGACCCAAGAACCTCCACAGCAACATGAATCAATTGCACTCAGAAAGGAAAAGAGGATCATTAGACAACTGCTCGCTATGCTGATATGGTCTCTTTTGCATCACCAATTGTAATTGATGACGTTCCTGCCACTTTTAATGAAGCAGTCCAAAGTTCATAACATAAAAAGTGGAGGATCTCCATGAATGAAGAAATGCAATCCCTTCAAAAGAATCAGACGTGGAAACTAGCTAGTCTTCCGAAGGGAAATAAGGCAATTGGGTGCAAGTGGGTATA